CCCCCCCCCCCCCCCCCCCCCCCCAAAAAAAAAAAAAATGAGTTGCAATGAATAACATAATCAACTGGATGTAGGAAAAATTAAAAGGGCCCAACAGCAGCAGTACAACATAATCACGGGCTTGCCGATTGCCATTGTGAAGAGAATGAATATTGCATGACAGACAAACATTAGAACTGGTCAAAACCATGGTGCCAGACACATTAACCACTTGGACTGAAAAATTAAAGTATATGGAAGATAGATCTCCATTCAGTTTGTGCAATGCAATTCAAGCTGTGTTGCATGTTCACGTGATACAATATGATTGTACTCCATGTCATTAAAGAAGCACTGACCTTATCGGGCAAAGAAGCCCAATCTTTCAAATAAGACAAGATCTTTAAAGCATCTGAGAATGGTAGAGCCTGCAAGAAAGTCAAATAGATATCATTTAACATTTTCCAAATGTGAAAAAAAAAAAAATGGTTAAACATGAACATACTTGACAAGGCCAACATAAAAACAGAACCCGGAACACATTCAAAACAGGGTTTGTAGTAGCTACAATATGTGCATTTTATTTTTAACTGTACTTCATTAGATTGAGACTTGAGATCTAAACTATTAGTTCTACTGATGAAAACAGAAAAGGAACAAAGAACCATCCACCACGCAATAAGGAATAATATGAGAATGAAAATCTAAAGCCATATCTCCGCATTACCAAGCCACTTTAAATCTACAAAGGCAGGGGAACAGTGTGGAAAGCTGGGGCACATTATTACTGTGTTGTGTAATTGCGTTTCCAGAGTATCAAATGGATTGATAACGCAATAGTTCTATTTTCAATCCAAAATAAATGCAACAACTTTGCTTAGGTTATCCTAATCAATCAATGCAACTACTTTTTAACATTGTCAGAATTCACCAAAATATTTATGGCGCTGAAGCACACTTGCAGTCGTGTGTCAATCCTAACCCGACTGCAGCAGCACATTATCGATCAATATAACATGGTTAAAAAATTCACAATGCCAGAGAAAACCATGATCTAATTGACAGATGCTAAAATCTCGTAGTGCGAGGGATTTATGGGTACTTCATAGTAGTTTAGTGTTTTCAAACTACTAATAGCAGTGGTACACATGATGGATAGAAATTTCTGATACAAACATAACCAATGTATAATAGATATAATTTCATCCACCACAATGAGAAATTATCCATACATCCAACACACAGGATAGATGGCTTCAATGCATGACTATGTCACCACACTTACTAGCAAGGTCTGCTCCAAATCATTAGTGTCAACATTAGAAAGTGCACGCAGAACATAATCAGGAGGAGAAAGTCCAAGCATAAGAATATTTGGCCTGAAATCAGCAACTTTTCCTTTTGATTTTTCCTCCTGAAAAATCACAGAATTTGTTGAAACCAAACTTGAAATATCATATTGGATTCGAATAATATCAATAATCAGGTCACTAGACTCACTACACAGGTTACTCATGAATGAAGAGGAAAAAAGTGAAATTTTGATACTAATCTTCCATATCAGAATATAAAATGTGGCACATAGTGAATAAAATGGCAAGACTCTGCATACCTCATATTCAGCAATACGCTTCAGTTCTTCATCTGCCATGTCTAATGCTTCAATGATAGAGTCAGTTGCATTAACAGTTTCTTGAGTTTTCTTCCCAGCTAATGCCACAGCTCCTTCTTCAGGAAGTTCCTCCTTTGGCACATACCTATTCTCAAATGCATTGCCAATGTCAGCTTCAAACATCTCTTCCAACCTTTTCTCTTTCTCTTCCTGCAAATAAAATCACAATTATGGTTTTCCCAGAGAAAATTAGGCCTTGTTTGAGCCCCATTTTTCGGAGAAAATAGGTTTTATAATAGTTATTTTTTTGGAGAATGTGTAGTTAAAAAGTAGGGAAAAGTTTTGAGTTTACATGTAAAATTATTTTATAGGATAATGTGTGGTTGAAAATGAGTTAGGAAAAAATGGAGCTCAAACATAGGCTCGATGAAAAGCCCCAACCGAAATGAGGAACAATATGGTGAAATATGTAACACATTTGCTTAGCACTGCAGCTTTAGCGCAATGGAGAACTTAAAAAGAAGTACCTCAATAAAGAAAGGCTCTTCTGTACGATCCCAACGGCGAATGGATCTATCATGAGATCCTGTTACAAGAAAATCCCCACGGTTGCTAACAGCAAGACACCAGACCTCGGAGTGATGACCTTCAAGAGTCAAAAGCAATTCAAACTTATCGGCATCCCAGTATTTCACAAGGCGGTCCTTCCCAACACTAAACATGTAATGGGTATTGCGTACAAACTTAACTGCCATGACACTGTAATTAAAACATGTCAGAGCTGCTCTATATAAAAATTGGAACTTGTGTTAAAGGGGGGAGGAGGGAGGTGCAAAGCCATAAAATATAATAATTGGCAAGGTGTTGAAGCACCTATTGGCATGAGCAAAAAGGGACTTGTGGCAATCACCAAAATCTAGACCCCAAATCTTTAAATTTTTGTCTGCAGAACCAGTAACAATTAAATCCCCATCAGATGATATGTCCATACATAACACGGGCAGCATGTGGCCATACAAGGAGAGAAAAAATTTGAGTGAATCCATGAAGAACACCTGTTAATGACAATATATAGGAGAGTAAGTGACAAAATTACAAAAAGTTTCACCATCAAATACATTTCAGACTTCAGAAGTAAACTTACGAGCAAGCAATGTTGCAATAACCAAATTTATGGCTCACCAGACGCCACAAACATGATGCAGAGGCTTACCAGTGCAGAAATTTAAACAAAAAAACAAAAAACAAAAAAAAACGTGGAGAAGTCCCAATTAATGCTTCAAGCCAACAAACTTATCCATTCAAATGCAAATGACTTGAATATTTATTAACCAAAAGTAAACATGACATTTAAACAGGCCCAAGTTAATCAACCAATGAGATTTTCAAAGTTAACAAATAATATCAGCTAATTTCCAAGCCTCTCCATTCAAACACAAATGACTTGAATATCTATTGACCCATAGCACAAATAATAACTGGAGGCCCAGGTCAATCAGCTAATTTCCAAGCCTCATGTTAACAAATAGATTAAGAACTATTATGCCATACAGATTTTCAAAGTCGTGCTGGACTGCCCAGGCATTGCTTACATTCCTCTAGACATTGACTTTCATTTTGCATACCTCACTTGCATGAAATTTTTATCGCTCCAATATATTGACATGTCAAATCAGATCTAGGTATAAGTCAATGCATAATACTCTTTATCATTTAGTAATGAAAGAATATTATTGCGATTTCCTAAAATTATTTCAACCGCAGAGCAGAAGAAATTTGAATTGAATATGATCTCGATATTCAATAATTAAAGCAACATAAAGAACATGCAAAAATAACAAGAATAAAATTGTCCACCCGACCTTCACAGTGTTGTCTATCAGAGCAACAGCAATATATTTACCCTCTGGGCTAACAGCTACCACTAAAACATCACCATTCATTCTCGAATTCCTCACGGGAGACACTGTTAAACGCTTAGAATCCTGTCAAAACACACAAAATTATTACATCAACAGAGCATACCATTTAGCAAAAGCAATTTTATAACAATGTATTAGAATGGAAACCAAGTGAAAGGTCCAGCAGTATGGTACAATAAACAATCAGAAGTTATTCAATCGAAGAGAAAAACATCAACCTAACGAAATATGAAGGAAAAAGCAGAAGGGTCTAAAGAACACACTTGACCAGGATTTTGAGTGGTTTGATACTCCCAAAACTTGATTTCATGATCTGCACTCCCGGTGACAAATCCATCAGCAGTTGCAGCAATAGACTGAACAGAGCTACCATGAGCTTCAACTACATCCATGCAAGTACCATTTCGAACATCAATAATTTCTAGTGTACCACCTTTTGTACCAACAACTGCATACTTGTTACCGGGGACAAATAGACCACACAATCCAAATCCTGAATCAATAGTTCTGAGGCAAGAACCAGTACTGGGATTCCATATTTTAACCGTACTGTGACTCGTTGACATCAAAAGAGTATTATCTGAGCTAAGTGTGACACTTCTCACATCAGAACGATGTCCCTGAAGCTCAATGGCGCTTAATTTTGTGGTTGAAGTACTCTCAATTGAATAAACTTCCAATAAATTATTGTTCAGAGACAATGCTAAGGTAGCCAAAGAGCTTCTTGAAGTGATTGGAGAAAAAGAAATGGAGCATATCTTCTTGCTGGCTCGAAGAGTCTGCACGTGCTTAAAGATATCAGGAACAGTAACAGTGATGTCATTACCAACTTCATTTTCGACAGTTCCATTTTCAGCAGTCTCACCTGCCCCTTTAGAAGCTTTCTTCTCCTTCTTTCTATTAACTCTTCTTTTCGCTTTACGTCTAGATTCAGACTCGTCTAATACACGAAATATGTCCACTATTTTCCCTGCAACTTGACAAGCCAGCAGATTTCCAGACCTATTGAACCTAACTGTAGCAACTCTATCCTTGATCTGCCGCTGAATTTCACCATAATGCTTCAAAACTTCCCATTTGTTCTGAGCAGATGCTTTTCCATTATCCACATCAGATTCCGTTTTATCCGGTAGAGATTTTCCATCAGCCAAATCATGCTTTATCATGTAAAATCGGAGTTCAGGGTCCGCCGACCCAGAGACCAGATATTTTTCATCTGGGTCAACATCAATGGACCAAATTTCACTGTGATGACCACTTACGATTTGCATGCAATGCTGCGTTTCAAGGTCCCAGACCCTTAAAAATTTGTCTTTGGATGAACTAACCAGTTTTTTACCAGAATCCAAAAAGACAAGGTCAGTGACCTGCAATATGCAAGTAAAAAGACGGAACAAGATAATTCAGCTCCCAAAAAATGGTGAAAGAAACACAATCTACAGCTTTCAAATCACAAAGAGAAAATACCAAATGAGTAAAATCTCATAAGACAACCTGGTCACGGTGCCCACGAAGGCGGAAGAGACCAGCCTCACCAACCACATCCCATAAAATAATGTCATTGTCTTTGCTTCCAGAAGCAAGCAAAGATCCAAGTTTGTTGTACCGGATTATTGTTACAGCTCCTTTATGTCCATTCAAAGTGGTTTCACATGTTCCTTTCTCACTATCCCATATTCTTATACTACCATCAGCATAGCCACAAGCTATCTGCAAAACCAATTCCCATTCATTACTTCATTATATTCCAACATATAAATTTAAATCAAACTTTTACGTCAACTGCCATTTTTGGGTCAAATCAATTTTTTTTCCTGAACTATAGTCTATTATGAGCCCAACAATATGAATATCAAAATATGGTTCAGCCAACAAACTGGGAAGTGCAAAAATATACATCCCCCTTAACTTTCTAACCTTACACATGACATCTATGACTATCTCAAATTTCCTCTATCATGAAAGCAAGGAATGAAAGAGAGTAAAATGAAACTATTGATCGAAGCATCACACCTAGGCTTCTTCTGGAATAAAAAACCATGAGAAACAAAACAAAATAATACTTCGAGAAATTTAATATCATTATGAGAGGACAAAAAGTAACAGGTTATGATGATTCATTGAAAAATCTCGCCCAAAAGCAATTTTTCATTAAAACCCCATTTAACATTGTAACTATGAGTTAAAGTGCTTTGTTGTCCCGTGGGGCTTCAGAGCTATAAATAAATACGATGTAAAAGTTCGTATTTTTCCAATTTTAAGTATGTATGAACCCATAATACTCATATCTATGTATTGTGTGAAATTAAATTGGAGAAAGCTCTTCTGAATTGAGAAATTACAAACATATACATGTTATGTATAGATGGGAAGAAGGTGCCGACATTATGCTCTTACATAATTAAAAAATCAAAATTTATTTTTACTCATTAGTTAGAGCATAAAAAATACGAAGCCGTAGTTATAAGCCTCCTATACAGATGGACTAAAAGAGGGGGCGAAAGAGAGTATACCAGAGACGAGGGAGACGAGGCAATGGAAGTGACGGCGAGGGAGGCGCCATGCGAGGAGGAAGGCGATGGAACTAGAGTTTTTGTACAAGTGCCCTGGCGAACGTGCCACACGGCTAGCTTCTCAAGCGCCGCCACCAAGAGGTGTTTTCCGGAGCTGTCGTAGGCTACGTTGGAGTCCGCCGATGCTATAACTCCGAACGACGCCGCCGCCTCGTATCGAAGATATGACTTCACCATTTTTCGATCCTTTCAGTCTGGCTTTCGTGCATATGTATAAGAGGAGTGGGCCGGCTGGGCGGATTTGGCAGTGGGCTGCACGTGGCTGTAGCCCATTGCCCTCCAAGTCCAGATCCTACAAAAATAAAACAAATTCTATGGAAAATTTTCCATTTTGTTGGTGTTTAATAGGCATTTATTTCTTGGCAATTGAAATTCTATTTTTGCTTCACACGGTGACCATTTCTTGTTTTTCATTAAATTTGTTTTCCCACCTATATGGTGGAAAATGGATTTCCAAGTTTTTTTATTTGTTGACAATGGAAACAAATTTTAAAAATTATTGTAAAAAAATATCTCCCTTTAATTGACAATTTTCATGTAAAATAAAGTCAAACGAATATCAAAAGATAGATGATTTTCTTAAATTTTTTCTTTTTTTTGGGCAATGGAAACGAATTTCATCCCCAATACCAGTAAAATCTATTTCTTTAATTGACAATTTTCATGTAAAACAAAGTCGAACGAACACAGAAAAACACTTTTATTTCAATATTTTTCACGTGAATAATTATACCAATCAAACACAATAATTTACAATTCCCAGGAAAACAATTTATAAACAATTTAATTTTTTGAAATTCATTTTCTTTCCACCCAAATCCCATCTTTGCAATCAAACGGGCCCTTATGTGAAATGGTTTTAATTTTAGTGTATAGCCCCTCAACAATTTATATAACTTGGCAAGCCCAGTCTAATTCTTAAAACTAATTATTTGTTTTAATTTGGCCCAATTCTTAAAATTGACTTTGTTAAATTTTAGTCCAAATCCATCGCAGGCTCATTTGATTCCTCTATTTTCTTCTTTCTTTAAAATTCAACATCAAGCTTCAATTGAGTTTTTGAAAGCCAAATTGAAATTCCCAAATTTTTCAGTCGACTGCCAACCGCCTATCTTCAATCAAAAATGGCGACTACTGACGAAATATACACTTAAAAGAAATTGTGGGAAGGAGCTAGAGGTATGAATGTTTGGATATGAATGATTTGAATTTATGATTTGGGATATGAATTTTTAATTTCTTACAATAGAAGGGTATGCATTTATGAACAACGAAGGAAGATTTTAAGTTCTGAGTTCTTAAAATATGAATGAATTTATGTTTATGGGATATTATCATGTTGAGTTTTGATTTTTATGCCTTTAGTTTTGGATTTTAGCATGGAAGAAGATCGACCTTCTACCAAAAAAGAACTTTTTTATCTTTCTTTTTAAAGAGTGACAAATCTAAGAATACAACTATAATAGCTAATGTTATACTACGCTTATATATATATGAATTTTATTCTTGCATTAAATTATTGAAATTTCTCCCTAGTTGAAACATTTTGTACAAAACAGTAAAAAATACCAAGGGAATGTTTGAGTCGCATTATTTTGGTAATAATGCATTCTTGAATAGTGTATTGATGGGAAATATGTGATTAAAAAATAAGGAAAAAATTTTTATCTGTGTGTAATATTATTTTATTGAAAAATGTGTGATTGAAATGATATCATATCACTGTTTAAAAATGCATTTTTTGGAATAATATGGCCCAAACAGGCACCAAAATTAAAAAGGAATAGTTGCAATTTCAGTATCGAACTTTTTATTTTTCTACAAATTATACCCAAATTTTTTATATATGTCACCCACAATCTCAAACCTTCAAAACCTTGTCTCGTGCTGCTTCTTCAACAAATTATAACAAAAAATGGAGTCATTATCTTTGACCGTGGGTCCCACCCATGAGAGGAGCAATCAAAAGTTTCAGCTGCCAACGGTTAGAAAATCAAACTTTTCCCCAAAAATTGGCAGCCTTTATTTTCCACCCTGACCTACCTCATCTTCTTCCCCATTGCCCCAGCCCACGATTCCAAACTTTTAAAACTATATAGATATTGTTAAATAGTTTCAACAGCATTCTTAGTATCCTATTTTCCAAATAACCAATCTTCATCCCTTTTGTTGACCTCCAATACAACCTTAAGGTCTCCATGCACTAGCTTAGAATTCACAAATTGGTGGCCCTTTTAGGGCAGCATAACTACTTGGCAATCATTCACCGTAGCCTCAATCATTGAGCTAAATCCTGCATGACATAAAATAAAGGGAAAAGTTCATAATTCAGATGTATTGTTTACATCAATTCACAAATCAGGTACAAAGTTTAAAAATTCAAAATTTAGGTTTCTGTATAATTAATTGAAAATATTTATTAATTAAATATAATAAAGTCACAGTTACACGATTAATGGTCACAGATTCATAATTATTGGTCATGGATTTATTTACTAATCACATATCATCGATTTAATTGGTCACATATTATTTCGTTGTCACAAATCAATTATTTCGAGGTCATTAATCATTCAAATTACATGTCACATTTTATCTATGGATCACAAACCACGGTTTATTAGTCACAAATTATTTTGTAGTTATAAACACCTCATTTTTTATCACAAATCAACCAAATAATTGGTCATAAACGTCCAAGTAGTTAGTCACAGACACCCCCACTCGTCACCACAACAATCACCACCAACATCATCAACAACAACACAATAATAGTTGGGAAACACCGCCTCCTACTTCCACCATCATGAGCACCATCGTGCCAATAACACCACCACAACACATCACCACCACACCCACACCACCCATCTTACATCATCTATATCCAATACCACTACACATATCATATAAATCAGCACACATACCAGAGATCGACACTCAGACCAAAGCCGTGATGACTTCACAGCAGTCGCGACGCTCAGATCTCCAGCGACGAGAGAGTGCGACCATACTACCGTCGCTGCACCATCACCACACTGTCACCCCCACAAAACCTCACCAACACCACCAATATCCATGCTGCACTATGAGCGCCACCATGCAACAACGCTCATAGCAGCCCTCGGAGGCAGTCAACTTGACGCATCTCTGGCTATGACTTCTCTTCTTCCGAGGCTCGGAAGCGGTCAATGTGACGAATAATTCAAAAGGGAGAAGGGTTGATCTGCAGTCGCACGATCGCTATTCGTGAGTTGGGTGACAACGACATGCGACAGGTGGCAACGACTGAAGATGAGTTCTGATTGCCAAATTGGTACAGTCGTGAGCTTACAACGGGAGAGAGAGGGTGTGCCACTATGTCGTGTGTTTGAGCGAGAGAGAGAGAGATAAAATGAATTGGGGTTTTAATTTTTTATGGAAACCTGATTTATGCATTATTAAACTTTGTACCTAATCTTAGAATTGTCTTTTTTAAACACTTGATTTTTTTTGTAATTTCCTCATAAATAAATGAGTTATTCTTGGGAAACAGGGCCACGTGGGGGGTGGAAAAATAGGGCCTACGTGGCCCTGTTTGAGAAGAATTATACTAAGCCCTTGTTTGAGCCCTTTTAAAAAAAAAATACATTCTTAAACAATGTTTTGAAATCATTTCAATCACACATTCTTCAATAAAATAATATTACACGAAAATTTAAAACTTTTTCTTATTTTTTAACCACACATTTTACATCATTACACTATTCAAAAATACATTTTCTTGACAAAAATGGGGCTCAAACAAGAGCTAAATAATAACCCCACTTTTGTGGGCCAAAATCGACGACTGCTGGATCCACCCACTGTGAATTATTCCTGTTCCTTCCACTCTTTCCAAGAACCTTTGAGGAAGTGCCCTCTTTCGATCACGCTACACGTACAGGGTGCACTTCACATGTGTTTCACAGGGTCACGTGGCATTGGAAAAAATAAATAAATAAAACGTACAGGGTGCACTTCACATGTGTTTCACAGGGTCACGTGGCATTGGAAAAAATAAATAAATAAAACCCCCAAATTGAAATATGATCTTGCGTCCCTTTTTCTGTCCCCAACTCCATCGCCTCTGTTCACAACGACAAGACAAACCGCCGGATTCATCTCCACCTCCGCCCGGTGCAAAACAAGTGAAGAAAGCAATGTAGAAGCATTACTCAAACATAACAACCGAGATTTAAAGGAAGCGAACCCTGTTGTCCTCCGCTGGCACCAAACCACCACTGGAAAACACCTCTCCTTCTCGTTTATTGTAATATGTATTTGATAATGGAAAATGGGTGTAAACTATGTTGCTTTTATCATGTTTGGCATCAGTATTTCTTATTCTCACCATGGATTTTGAGTTTTGCATTTTATGTTAAGGGTGAATGCTTGAATTATTGAATCTAACCAAGTTGCCAAAATTTAGCATTGGAAAACTAATTCAAAAACAGATTCCAATAAAACCAAGTGACAGAACAATGCAGAGCTTAATGAATTTTCCAAAATCAGCTGATTTAAAAACCAAGTGATATCTCTTCTACACCAATTTCCCAAGTTGATGCTACCAGGCTCTCTTGCATACCAAAAACTTGAGGCATTTGAGAAGAATACTTCATTTTGAGATCCAACAACTTTCACATACATGGGATAAAACACAGAAAATGAGGAGAGCAAAAAATCCAACTTAAATAAATAAGAACATTTTGCTACAATAAGAAAACACTGGAGGTGTAAGCTACATGACTGGGGCAGTCGTGATTTTAGCCCGAATAAGCCGTCGGGGATGGAGTTTTCAGGGCTCTGGAATTCGTGGGGAAGAGAGTTTTCAGGGCTCTCCAACACCGAAGGTTGAAGCTATATGCCCAGGCTACGCGTGATATATGAGACAACACAATTTTTTGCGATTCCCGTGGGAAGATGGCCGGAGTTCTTAGAGCACGGTTGCGCTTTGGGCTTCCGCTTCACTGTTCTCCAATTTGGGGGAGCTATGGATTTTCCCTCCCTATTTTCTATTCTTTTTTTGTTCTTTTCTTTGTCCTTTCCTTTATTTAATGAACTGCCACGTCATCAAATTTAAAATGCCTATAAACACCCTGTGAAACCTGCCTGTACGTATAGCTTTATTCGCCCTCTTTAGCTCAGCTCAGACATCACATTTGCAGGAAAATTTTTGA